ATAAACTTATTAAAAAAAAAAACAATTAAAAACGAATGATTGATTGTTTCAAAGCAGCCATTGTAAAGAATTAACTTGCCAAAGGAAATATAAAAAACTATTTGGTTTTTACTTTGTAAAGATCAAAAAAAAAAAATGTTTGGATGCTGATGGATATTTTGTAATGATTTCATAATACAACGACCGATAACGTTTTCGTCTTTACCTCCCTCCTTGCTTGTGAGTGTGTGTGCGCGCGATTTAAACAAGAAATAAAAAGAACTAAAAATAAAATAAATATCTTACAAGAACATTGTATTTTTGTTTTACGAAAGGTGGCAGTGTTTCAAAATAAATCGAAAGATCTCTTCTTTAAAAACAAAAAAAAAAAAAACGAAATAAGCCGTTGATATAAGTCAACTGTAAGTGGTATAATTGTGCTAAGTGATGTTGGTTTCACCAATTCCAATTTCAATAATTATAAAACACTTTTTCCATTTGCTGCCTTTTGCCATGATATGTTTTATAACGCTTTGGGTTATCAGCAGCTTTTGCTCGGACCTGTGGCTGGCCCAACAGATGTTTGTCTCGCCGCCGTCCATTCGTTCGTTCATGCGGTGTTTTGTAAGAAAGATCAGATGCTAAATACATGCAAACAATGAGACAGACACCAACCAACCAACCACATTATTGTTATCAATAGCGTTCGACGGGACACCAGAAAATTTGGCGTAACATTAACAAAAAATTGCGTACAATACTTTTTTTTCTTTTTCACTTAACACCAAAAAATGCTTCTAAAAATATCAGTGTCTTATGTTGAAATGTATATTTTTATGTTGGCGTTTCTATGGTGAAGAATTTGAAAATTCGAAAAAAAAACGTTTTTTTATTTTGTTTTGGTTTGTTTTCAAAGATAATCTCTTAATGGTTGGCTGATACAGGAAAGTAATTTTCCTATAGGTGAATTGAAGAGGAGAGCAAGTGGATATTAGGGTGGACCTACATGGTTTTCGTTGGATCAGCTACAAAATTTCAAATCGATTTATTCATGTCCGTCAGTCTATTGCAATTGAAATGGAGGCAATATATAATTGTGTAGAACGTTGAAATAATCAAACGTTTAAAATAAGCAAAAAAGGTTTAAATTATGCCTGGAATGGTTAAAAATTTTTTATGCCGGCCCACCTGCAAATATAGCTCCTATACAACGGTACCTCCTGATTTTTGGATTTTTTTTAACCAAAAGAGCTGTAGATTTAGGTTTAGTTTATTCTAATATCTGACCTCTAGATGGGATATCGGTAGTTCCGGCTACTGTAAACTATTTGGGGACAAAGATGAGGTATAGACAGTTGAACATGTACTAATCCCACGCTGGCAATCAAAAGACATAAAAGACACAACATTCTTCTCAAATGTAGATTCCATTATCATCCATAGGTTTGCTAAAAGCAATCATGGCTGGTCAGGCCTTCGTATAACTATATATCTCGCTTTCTTATTTTTCCTCAATTTATGTCTTTCCTATCTTGATAATTTTTCTTCGGATTAACACATAGTGAAGCAGTTGCGGATTCTAGAGTAGCTGCTCATCCTGATATCTAAACAAAACAAAGTGTTCTCAGTGTTCTTTGTTTGGCATATCAACCATGGTAATTTTGGATTTGAAATGTTTTGAAGTTTTTAGACAGACTTTTCAAGATCAGAAGGCTATTCCATCAGAAAAAGTGCAGTGTAGCTACATTATGTTGTAAAGGTCCTGGTAGATATTTTCAGGTTATTTTGACTGTCATTTGACAATCTATGTTCAATTAAATGAGAATTTTACCTATGATTTTTTCAATATAGATTTACATTTTCACATAAGCCAGCAGCCGGTTTTTGGTGTGTTGAAGGTCCTGGAAACATTTTCAATTTGATATTTGAAAATCTAATTAAATAGATAGGAGACATCCTTGCAAAAATTGTTCATGGTAGATTCAGGTTTTAAAATGGCCCCAAGTCAGATATATTATGTTTTCGCCAATAGAAACGATTTGGGGATTCTCTCCTGCTAACATACACTGGATGTATAAAGCTGTAGTTTGTCCCATCCTTTCTAATTGAAGTCTTGACTGGTGGCACACAGTAAATTCAAGGTAAATAGCTCAAAACTCGCAAGCGTAAATAAAAATGTACATTTTAAGCAGCCTTAAACGTGGTGTTAAACATCGCTTTGGTCTAAATTAGTTTACAGTACCAGGCTGCACGAGGAGCGAAAAGGCTTTCCCTATAGAATATGCTGTATACTTTACGACATAGGGTCATGTCAGATTGATGGAGTTTCTGAAGTGAACTTCAACTCTCATGACGGGAGCACCGAATATATATCTCCAACCATGAGGTTTGACAGAATTGTGATACCGAATAGGTCGAAGCCAACCTACTCTCTAACTGGTCTGTCAATATATACTGACGGATTAAAGATGGAAGACAGGCATGGCAGCCGAAGTCTTTTGTGTGCAAATAGGAATGGCATATTCCTACAAGTAGGATGGGATGTGAAGTGTTTTTCGGGCAGATATTTTTGCGATCATGAAAGCGATAGAATTGATTAAATCTATAGAGAATGAAATAACTGAACAGGTTATTTCAAACGGCTCTTAAAGCTATTGAAACTTTCACAATCAATTTCAATGCAGTCCTAAAATGCAGAACGGTTCTAGGAAATCTGCACGCTAACCTCCGGATTTGCTGGTTGGTGGCTGCCTGGTTGTTATAATATTAAAGAAAATGAGAATGTCGATGAATTGGAAAGGATGGGCTTGAAGTCAACGGACCTTCAAGTCGACGACGATTTACAACACACTCTTTGACATTTTAACAGAACATTATAACTACTACAATTGAAAGACTACGAGCTCGTCTATATCTTCCAATTTTAAATGATGAGCTCAAGATTCGAAACCAGTCCAATAATAAGCATAATTTTATAAAAATACAAAATATTATAGCCACAAATCATTTTCTCAGAAACCGTTTGTCAAATCTTTACCATTTTTTGATTTTAATTTGTTCTTTTACGAAGAAGTCAATCGTTGACAGTAAAAAAGCTTGTTACGCATCTGTACCTTAACTTTTATTATAAATTTAGCTATAAAGACCAATATGAGGAATTTATTTTTATTTATTTATATTCAATTAACACAGTTACATAGCCCATAGAGCCATGGACGGTTCCAAAAACCTATATATATATATTTATATAACTACTCTAAATTATTAATTAATTATTTGTTTTCTTTAATTTTTACCGCTTTAGAATACCCAATTTTTCCAAGAGTTCATAAATTTCAATAAAAAAAAAAACATCATTGACCTCTCTGTTGACGTTCCACACTTATATCTTTTCCGTATATCTATGCATAAAAATGTTCTAGTCTTTCAAATACCTATGTTACTGTGTGAAAGATTGGTTATTTTCTGTTGCTTTGGCTTCATCGTCGATGAACTATTAAAAAAATGCCATGCATTGTTGTTGTAGTTTTTTGTATTTGAGCACGTGATCTTTTTTGTTTTGATTTTTAATTTGAAGGTGATTTTTTTTTGGCTAAAAACATTAAAAACACACGATAGAGAGTACATAGAGACAATGTGGCTTTGCAGAGCTATTATGCGTGAATCATTCCAAATATTTTTGTTTTTTTTTTTTGGATAATATGTATGTAGCCCTACTTTTTTGCGGAAGTAAAAACAAAGGCATGAGGAAGTTATGTCTTTTTTTTTGTAATCCAAAGCTTTTTTTCGAAAGGAAAAACTAATTTTAAATTCTAAATACGCCTCTGAGAAATATTTTAAAATTAAAAATAGGCCTACTTTAGCATACAACTTAATATGTTGTATTCTGGAACAGCTTTGTCATTATTAAGAAATATTTAAAATTAAGAATAATTTAAACACCGCTGTTTAGTTCACAATTTTGATGAGATATTTATCTGACTAAAATCAACATTATTTCAAAGGCTTCTTATTAATTTCAGACGATGTAGGGCTTTACAACGTTTTCATACCCTCCACCTTTGTAACATCCCTAAATATTCGTCGAAGACTCCATAAAGTATACATATTCACGACCAGCATAAAATTCTAAATCGATTTAACGAAGTCCGCCTCTCTGTCTGGCCGTCTCTCTGTTGAAATCACGATACAGCCCACATTATTTGTCGTAGAGCTTGAAAATTTGGTAGTACCAATTTGTATTGAGTCTAGGATGGTTGGTATTGAAAATGAGATATATCGGTCCACGTTTTGGTATAGCCGCGGTAACGGTACCTCACGATATTATGTATTTTGATGATTTTTACCACATTTTTCCACGGATTTGTCTAAAAATTGGTATTTGTCGGTCATAATGGGTTCTAGCTCCGGTGGCGAAACAATGTATGTATAGGTCCGCGTTTTCGTATAGCCCCCATATAACTGTAACTCCCGATATTCGGTATTTTGATGATTTTTGCTACATTTTTCCACGGATTTGTCTAAAAATTGCTATTTGTAGGTCATAATGGGTTCTAGCTCCGGTGGCGAAACATTGTATGTATAGGTCCACGTTTTCGTATATCCCCCATATAACGGCACCTCTCGATATTCCGTATTTTGTTGATTTTTTCCACACTTTTCCACGGATTTGTCTAGAAATTGGTATTTGGATGTCATAATAGATTCTAGCTCCGGTAACGGTGCCTACCGTTATTCGGTATTTTGTTGATTTTTGCCACATTTATCTACGTGTTTGTCCAAAAATTGGTATTTGTAGTACATAATGGGTTCTAGCTCCAGTGGCAGAACATTGACTATTAAGGTGCACGTTTTCCCATAGCGTCCGTCTAAATTTAATGTTATTTTACTTGTTTTTTTTTTTTTTTTTTTTGCAATTTGTTCTCCATTAGAATACACACTGTAATATGATTTCTAAAATATGTCTTCACAAATCGATATTTAACTAATTGCTCTTCACCTTTCATTTCATTTAATTGCAGATTCTTCAACATTCAGCGAAAATGGTATCTGGTCGCCCACTTTTATATTTGTCACTGCCTGGTGTAGCATTTATACTTGGCGTATTTTGGTTTCGGCGTCGGAATAAAAATCGCGGAGAAAATGATACGAAAAAACTAGGCAATGGCACGATAACGTCCGACAAGGATTTACCATCACAGACCGAAGTCACTGAGGATCTAATCACAAAAACAAATACCACATGTAATAATAACAGTAGTAAACCCACATCCACACCCACAAAATCAATGAACATAAACGGAACTATACCATCGGATGAAGAGAATCCCGCAAATCGAATGTTTGGCAAATCGGCACCCATTAAAATTGTACAAAACGGTCGTGGCCCCTCACCGGTAAAACAAACGGCACAACAGCAACTGGATTCGGAGGTTTTAAAAACCAAAATTCAAGATGCTGAACACAAGTTGTTGCGTTCCATAGAAGAAGATTTTGAAAATCTTTCCTCTCCCGTCGATCTACCCGATTCCATAAATAATCGTACATCATTCTATTCGCGTAACGTTGATATCAAAAAAGACAAACCGGTTGTTATAATGGCCACGACAACACCCAAAATTTCGCCAGAGAATTCATTTTTGGAAAGTAAATATACCAAAGACTGTGAAGAGGATAGTAATAAATTAGACAAGAAAGAAAACCACAATGAAAAGGACAACAACACAACATCATCGTCTGTTGGTGGCAGTAATGGTAATGGCGAGAAAAGCATATCCCCCTCGGAGAAAGTTGTTGCACAAACCAATATTGTCGCTAAAAATGCCACTGACGACTGCACAGACAATTGCGGCACAACAAATGTCACAGATAAACGTAATGTTGATGCCGCCAGCCCATCCTTAAGCCTATGTAGTGTGCAATCCGGTGATTCGGGTAAAGGTTCCAGTTTACCCCGATCAGAGGCCACACGTGCTAAAACTACATATGAATTCTTTTTGCCAGACAGCCTAGTTGGATATTTGTACGGTCGCCGACGTTCGTTTATCAATCAAATCAAGTCCAAAACAAATGCCACAGTAGTTTTACGCAAGAAGATGTACCCCGGTAAATTGCGTGTGTGTGTCGTTGAGGGTACCGATAGTGAAATACAAGCTGCTCTGGCATTAATCCGTCAACGTTTGCCGGCCAAGCGTTATCCCAAATTAACAATGCAAAGAATACATTTTGCACTTCCACAATCTGTAGTTCCTTTATCAAACGAAAGTCTGCTTAATCTTCAGGTAAATATACTTTTGAATTGAAATATACAATTGAACTTGAAATTCTGTTTTTACATCCTACACCACACCACCCTCCTACACAGGGAGAAGGAATTGAGATAGACCCACAGTTTCTGTTGAGGATATTCATAGAATCACTTTCTGAGTTGATTTATGCATGTTAGTCAGTCAGTCCATCTGTCCGTCCGTGAGTCTGTCCATGTATTCTAGTGAACAAAATGCAGGTCACATTTATTATCCGATTGAAATTAAATTTTCCAAACAATATTTGTTTGACCCAAGGAGGAACCCTATTGAAGTTGGTGATAATCGGATCAGATTCGTATTCATAAACAAGGTATCAGATATCAAATACATGCTCAGAAATACGTCTGCCAAATTTTATCAAGATCGGTTCAGATTTGGATATAGTTCCCCTATATATCTTCAACCGATTTCGTATTAAATTACCTGAATTTTGGCACACCCAACCGAATTCAGTCTAGAAGCAAGTACATCAAATTTTGAGAAAATCGGTTCAGATATAGCTATAGCTCCCATATATATGTTTCATCCGATTTGGTGTTTAAGCCCCTCACATTCGTAATGTGCATTCGTCAACAATGATATTTGCTACCAGATATCTTGTAGAGCTCGGAAATACCTTTGCCAAATTTTATCGAGATCCGCTCAGATTTGGATATAGCTCCCATATATATTTCCCTTATCCGATTTCAGGTTTATTTTGCAAATAATAGCTAATATCAGCCAAAATGGAGTGAAATTCGGGACGTACGTTTCCATTTTGTGAAACTCGGTTCCGATATATATTTTTTTAATTTTCTTTTTTCTAATTTTCTTCTCGAAGTGGTATCATGCTTTCTTTAGCAATGTTATTAGTTATAAGATATTAAAATTTCTTCGTCAAATTTAGTGAAAATCGATTCAGAATTGGATATGCTTCGCATATATTAGTACCCTCTGAAGCCAAACTATAACTGCTCTAAATTCAAATGTTGATAGGTGGTATGATCTAATTCCAAATAATTGTTTTGTTGCGGGAGCTCTACTAAATATGCATAATGGTGTAGGGTATCATGTAGGTCGGCCCTGCAAGACTCATTGTTTTTTTTTTTAATTTTTGTATCTTTTTTAATTTTAAAGTTTTCATTTTTACTAATTATTTCGCTTTGTTTTCTCTTCCCTACAGCTTAACCTAATCGAAGGTATCAACAATGATGTAGTTGTTAGTGCTATTATCTCGGGTACCCATATATTTGTACAACAACCCCTACATCCCACACATCCTTCGTTAGCTGTTTTACAAAAATGTCTATATGAAAGCTATACAACATCAGATGCACCTCTATTGCCTGGCGTTGAGTTGAATGCTGTGTGTGTTATGCCAGTAAATGCTATTTGGTATCGGGTACAAATTGTCGATGGTGACGTTGAAGATCCAGAGCGATGTGTTGTTAAGTTTTTGGATTTCGGTGGCTATATGAATGTACACTTGAGTGAACTGAGACAAATACGTTCAGATTTCATGACAGTACCATTCCAAGCCACCGAATGTATACTCTCAAATATAGAGCCAATAGGTAAGTCCAAGCAATGTGTTTGCCATGTTATTGCAGTTTACTAACATTTATATATTTTTTTCTTTCTTTAGACTCCTGCTGGACACCAGAATTTGCTGATATTCTATGTAGACTAACCAAAGGCATTGTTCTGCAAGCACAAATTGCCGGTTACAATTCACATAATATACCAGAAATATTTTTGTTCGCTTGCTTAGGCCCCAATGTGAGTATTCTGCTCTTTTATGTGAAAAAGAGTTGATAAATGAAATACTGAAATGCAAAATTTGTTGAAAAGAAAATCCCCAGTTTGAAATGGGGATTTAAATTTTGCATAGTGATGTATTGATAATGAATATCCAAAAACGGATATGTATTTTCTCCATTCGGGAAAATACGAAATTCACAGACGAGAGAGACAAGGGGTTTCTTTCGAGCCTCACAAGAAGTTGACAGAAGATGTGAAGTGTGAGGCAAAAAGCGACTTGGTTGGTCCATCATACCTTAGTTTGTGCTAGCTTGCATGCTGGTAATGTATTACATGTGAAATTTCTGTTTTAACCAAATTAAAAATATGAGCTTCTTCACGGTTGAAAATATATGTGATGGAGGAGGGTAGTTTACATTTCAAAGATTCGATGTAAAACGCTCCCTCGCACACGCCCACATTAATTGAAGTTTTTGCTGTCCCTAGGACCTGCATTTAAAAGGTTTTGTTGCATAAACTTGACGTTATGAGTTTAATGATAAAAAATCATTACCCTGCCACATTTACAAAAGTATTTGAAAACATTTCTTAACCATACGTTTTTGTCTTCCTTTTACAGAATGTTATATTTATCAATAAGGAGCTTGTTGCCAGAAATCTTGCAAAATGGGTGGACATAAGAGACTGATTATATCCCGCTAAGGAAATGCATACAGAAACAGAGGCTGCCGATAGCAACAATAATAACATTGAATTGGACGTTGTTGTCGCTTACAACAGCAAAATTAGCAGACCAGAAATAAATCACAACAACAACAACATTAACTAAGTTCTCAAAACGTTTTTACCAACAGAATTTTAACACAAAAACAACACATAATACACTCACATACACACACCCACACACACGCTCTAATGGTAACTATTAAAGCCACAAAACAAATGCACTTAAGAATTGTAAAAGCCATATAATACCTTCAAAAGGTCTCTTATCTTGCTCTCACTCCGCAAAATATTTGAAACTATTTTAGAGTAGAACTCGATGAGAAAGCCGCCAACCACCATTAGAGATATTTAAGAAAGGTTGTTGCTGCAACCATTATTTATAATAATTAATTAAAGGCTTTAGTCAAGAATAACTCAAACAAACAAACAAACCATTCACAAATATTAAGAACAAGAAAGTAAAATATGCTAATATTTCATCACTTTTATTCAAATACAAGAAGTGAATGATGTCAAAAAAGAAAAGAGACAAAAGCCAAGAGTAGTTGTAGGTACATCTGGAAGAGAACCACACATGTTATACAAAATGCAGTCAGTCAGTGCTCTTTTAACTTAAACATAAATTAACATCAACAAGAACAACAAAAAGCTTTTATGTAGGCATCTTTTGTAAATATATACTATATAGGATTTAGTAATTAAATATAGTACATACACACAGAAACTGCAGCAGCAGAGGAAGAAGTAACAGAAGAAGTTGAAAAAAAAAAAACAACAAGAACAGAACAAAAAAAAAAAACTATTTTAAAATTCACTTCTTATGTGCTTATATTTTCATATTCCTCATGCTCCTTTTATTTATTATATTTTTTGTTTTTTTTTTTTTATTTTTGTTCAGCAGTCCTTTCTTAAGTTTTAAGTGACAAAAGAAACACAGAAGTTAGTCATTGTTATTTTTCTACTTTCTATGGCAATTTTCCCCCATACCCAATTTTAAACCATCATAACAAGACAAAATCAGTCAAATATTATCCTCTTAGAATGCAAAAAACAAAGCCCACAAGTTTTCATTGTGGTCAGTCTTTTCAAATTCACTTAAATCATGGAACTTACCATACTATTACATACATGTGTACATAACATTTATATCCTTCTTTTTTAGTTTTGTTTTCTTTTATATACAAACATACAAAAAATATATATTGTAATTTCAAAACAAGAATAATTACTGTTATGCGAAACGAGGAGGAGAAGAAGAAGACCGAGGCAGACAAATAAACAAACCACTGGGTCATGAGAAAAGCACATCAACAATATGAGTGTCTTAGGGATTACGTTTTCAGAGGAAAAGGAGTATAGAAAAGTTTCACCTGCCTGAAAATAAAACCATAACCTGTCCATAGGATTTTGTCCTCACTGCGAAAATGTTCAATATACAGAAAGAGGAGATCTAGCTACATAAATATATTATGTAACTTTTATAAAAAAATACACCTGACGTGCATTTTAGAGATGTGACGGGTTTCGATTGAATTTCCTTTTTAACACAATTTTTTAATCTCCCTCAACGCAAGTGTGAAATTCAGTACCAAGCAGAACAAGAATTCCCTTGTTAATTAGAATTAAACAATTGATTATAGTTCGGAAAATTTTCCTAGGAACATTATATTCAACATAAAGCTACAATTACGATTGAAATTCGTACTCTCGGTTTGTGGCTTGATTTGGAAATTGTATGGCATCAGGATATTGCATACCGGGGAGAAATTAATTTTTGGCGTTAGGATATTTATTTAACATCGAGAAAACAATAGTTTTTCTATACCCTCAGCCGTATTTGATAGGTCAAAATGTGCCTAGTCGAAATAACGCTTTTAGATCCTAGGTTTCTTTGGACCAAATCCGTTTCAGAATATTTGGAGTCGATCTAACGATGTCCGTCAGTCCGTCCGTCAGTCTGGCTGGCTGCTGCGCACGATAACTCTCGAAGGGAGTATCTGATTTGGTCCAAACTTGGTATATCGTAATGTTTTTTTTGTTAAACTTAGATCGAGTTCGGAGATGGGCAATATCGGTTCACTCCTGTTACCTCCCCCACAAGGGCGGAAATCTTCATAAAACATATTTTCTACACAGAAAGAGAAAGGATAACCCAATTTTGCTCCAACTTTGCAAATCCTAATATTTGCGTCAGTGCTCGGTCAGGTGCGAAAATTGACCATATCGGTCCACGCTATCAAGTACCTCCCCCACAAAGAGTCAACATTTTGAATAATTACAACTCTCATAAAATGTGATGTAATAGTCCGATTGTCAGGTTCTCTTTATATTTCACACATACAAACATTTTTTGCTAACACAAGATCTGTTGTGAAGATGCTATATATCTGCGAACCCCTTCTAGTACCTCACCCACAAATGGTCACAATTTTCAATAATTTTATAATATAAATTGCAAAAAAAACTCAGCGATTCTTTACAACTTGCTATATCTAAATATATGTCTCTCAACCTGAAACCTTAGATGAATATTGAATTTATAATTTCCCATAAATTGGATATAAATGTTCGATTTTCTTATAATTTTGGCGAAGGAAGTTAGTCCAAACCTGGCACGTATTTAGGTCTGATACGAAATCAACAACATTGGCCCATTCTTTCAGTTTGAATAATCATAACATAAGTCAAAATATTTTTAAATAATCGAACATTGGCTGAGGGTATACATCTGTCGGCAAAACCAACCGATACTTTTTTACTTGTTGTTTTTCATAGCCTCAAAACCTAAAATCTCTTTTCGATGTTCATCCCAAGCAATTAATCTATAATTTTAACAATTTGACGAGGAAAGAGAAAAAAACATTTCAAAATTCAAAGAAACTACCCATGATTTTATAGCTTAAAGTGTATGATTCGCGCATTTCAAAATTCAAAGTAACTCCCCATGATTTTATAGCTTAAAGTGTATCATTCGGACCAGAAAAACGTTTCAAAATTCAAAGTAACTTCCCATGATTTTATGGCTTATCATTCGGACCATCTTCTTATTTGTACGCCTAAAGACAGCCTTCGATTAATTATTAAAATCATTATCTGTTGCCTTGTTTGCCTTTTTCTCCTCCACAGTGACATGTTTTTTCCTTGATACGTTCTTGAAATATTCAAGTATTTTTTTCCTTCTTAATTATTTTTGTTTTTAAATTAAAATTTCTTCACAGATCTTCAATTTTAAAAATTTACTTTTTTTTGCTAGTAATTTAAGCCGACATTGCAAAAGAGGAGGAGTAACAGAATATATAGATACACATAACAATAATATTTATTTTGAAATTACAATGCCTTTTTTAAAATGATGATAAAAATGGCTTTGTTATATTATTAAAAGAAATATCTAATGCTATTATTATTTAGTTTTCTTTATTTTTTTTTTTTAAATAGAATGATGAGAATATTTTGTAGGCTTAGTGTTAATCTTTCTAAACGTAATATTAATTATTGTATTTTATTTTATTATAATTATCATTTTAGTTAAAAGAACAACAACAAAACAAGTTATTACATTAACCTGCCGCCGGAGAGTAAGGGGTTGTGCTATTTTATTTTTGTATACCTTGTCTCTAGCCCAGACCTTTTACCTATCTATTCTACAAATATCACTTCTCACTCACTATTATATTGTTACATTTGCTACATCCTATCCACATTCATTCAAACCTATTTTTTGTTTTTCTTTTCTATCATCCATCACCCACCACAACATTGAATGCATCCCGTTGTAAAATGAAGTAATAAAATGAAAGAAAGAGTAAAGTTTTTGAAAACAAAATCCCAAATTATTATTTTTTTCTATTGACTTTTACATTGGTTTTTCGGTTATTTTTTCTTTTCGTTACTATGGGCATTATTTTTCCTAGAAATATATAAATAAAAAACAACAACAACAGAATCCACAAACACACAAACAATTTGTAAAATATTTCTATCTATATACAGAGTCAACTCTTACCCACACACACACAACCATTATATACATACATAAATGCATATATTCTTCGTTTTTTTTTTTATAAAAATAAATAAAAATCAACAAATACACCTAAACCAAGTAATGAAAGATTTAAAAACAAAATACAATGAAAGAAAGAAATATTAAAATACATTGCATATATTTTTTGCTATATAAGTTATTTAGAGTTTTACATGAACAAATTATATAATGATTATATATAATATACAAAAATATAAAAATAAATAAGAAACAATAAAACATAAAACCAACAATAGGCAACCCAATCCCATTTTGAAAAAAACTAAATCTACCAAATTAAAAAGAAAAATAAATTAATGCAGGAATTTAATTGAAAAGATTGAATTGTTATATACTTAATATACAACATTTGCAAAAAGAAAAAAAAAACAACAAAAAGAAAACGCGATAATCTTTATAAGCATTACTGCGCAAACCAATGACAATTGCTTCAGTTGTCATTATTTTCTACACAATGATGCCGACGAAAAAAAAGATCCCGGAAAACTTAAGCAATAGTTTGGAAATACATTAAAAAAAGAAAAATAAAATAAAAACTGATATGTGCTAATAACAACAATTTCAAATAAAAATAAAATAATAAAAAATGATCCATAAAAATAAAATTCGTTAAAAAAAGTAAACAACATGTGTTTTTACTATTACTACCATAGAGGGTGAATTTTGAAGTTTCTTTTCAATTGTATGGAATATACTTTTTTTTTTAGGCTTTGGAGAATTCAAGCTGGGTTCTAGGCCTAATGGGAGGGAGAGAGAGATTTTAAGTTGCTAATTCTAGTGCTTTTGTTTTGTATAAAAATAAAGCGTCCTAAATTAATTATAGTCTATGTCTATTCAGAGATTAGAAGTTTGGAAACACAATTCGGAATGGCCAATTTCAGCAATGTTTCTTGGCCGCGTTTTATTCAATATATTCTATATCTATAAAAGAGGAAAATGAAATCAAAAGGGGTAGCGGAGATAGTTTAAAAAAAAATACTAAAATAATTTAAAGAAAACGCTGTATATGGTAAAAAAGGCTTAACTCTAGTTAAGTAAAAACTCTTAATTTTTTTTGAAAGTTTTTTCTTGGGGGACGGACCCGGGACCTCAAATTTTTGACCCGACCGTGTCAAAAAGACCGTGTTCAAGACTCTTGGTTTTTTTACATCCAAAAAAATCAATAGTCGATCGAGGTCGATCAGGGTTCAAGGTATGAGATTTGCAGTTGCAACACAAAAGAGCCCAGCAACCTGTGTCACCGATACGAAAGTTGTAGGCAATTGCAGAGAATATTCTCAACTAGAAAGTGCCATATTCTTCGTCAGAGTTCAAGGTATGAGATTTGCAGTTGCAACACAAAAGAGCCCAGCAAACTGTGTCACCGATACGAAAGTTGTAGGCAATTGCAGAGAATATTCTCAACTAGAAAGTGCCATTATCTTCGTCAGAGAAAAGCCCAACTTAAAATTTTAGACTAAATCCAGCAATTCGTGTTGGGTTATTTTAGTTCGGAAAATGCATAATTTGTGCAGCTTGACAAAATCTTTTAATCTAAACTTCAAACATCTGCCTAAATTTTTAGGTTTTATATATTTTTTGTCCAAAACTACTTCAACGTCTCCATATGTAAACCCTAGAAACTAACAGTAACCTCAATGTCAAATTACAGAATTTTAACTCTATCCTTTCATTATACCCTCAGCCATATGGCTAGAGTGGGTATATATCATTTGATAGATCAAAACGTGCCTAGTCGAAATAACGGTTTTAGACCCTAGTCGATCTAGCGATGTCCCTCTGTCTGTCTGTCTGGCCTATTTTGTCAAATGTAGATCGAGTTCGGAGATGGGCAAAATCAGTCCACTCCTTCTGGTAATTCCCCACCAAATGTCAGCATTTTCAAAGAAAATAAATTTCTCCTAATATTTGCATCAGTTCTAGGTCAGGTGCGAAAATTGACAATGTCAGTGATGTAAGAGTCCGATTGTCTTCACATTTCACACATCACAATAATTTTATTAACCCAAGGTCTGGTGATAAGATGGGATACATCGATCTACTCATTCCGGTAAATCCCCCACAAAAGGTCGAAATTTTGAAAAAAAAATCTGCACAGAAATAGAAGCAATAATCCGATTTGGCTCCAACTTTGCAAATCCTAATATTTGCCTCAGTTCTCGGCCAGTTGCGAAAATTGATAATATTGGTCCACTCCATCAAGTGCTTCCCCCACAAAGAATCCAAATTTTAAATAGTTATAACTCTTATAAAATGTGATGTAAGAATCCGATTGCCTTAAAATTCCACACATTCCAATATTTTTAAAAACTCAAGATCTGGTGTTAGGATGGAATATATCGGTCAACTCCTTCCCCCACAAAAGATAGAAATTTTGAATATCCATTAAGCTCATAATACGCGAAATTAATATCCGGTTCCATTCAGACTTGGTACATATCAATATTTCCATCAACACAAGATCTGTTATAAAGATGGAGATAGGACCATTTTTGCTGATACTTCCCTCACTTAGGATTCAAGATTTTGAAAAAAGGAAGTAAAATAATCATCAAAATCTCTTCAAATTACAGGCACAAACCTTTTTGCTAACCAGAAACCTGAGATGAATATGGAATTTATCGAAATTTATGATTTCGCAAAAAAATTGATATCAATCCTCGATTTTCTGTAATTTTGTCCATACCAATATTTATACCCTCCACCTTGGAAAGGAGGGTATATTAACTTTGTCATTCCGTTTGTAACATCCTTAAATATTCGTCGTAGACCCCATAAAGTATATATATTCATAATCAGCATAAAATTCTAAGTCGATTTAACGATGCCCGTCTGTCTGTCTGTCTGTTGAAATCACGATACAGTATTTCGGTATTTTGATTATTTATGTCACATTTTTTCACGGATTTGTCTGAAAATTGGTACTTGTAGGTCATAATGGGTCCCTGTGCGTGTGGCAAAACATTGCATATATGGGTCCACGTTTTGGTATAGCCCCCATATAAAAGTACCTTCTGATATTCGGTATTTTAATTTTTTTGCCACATTTTTCACGTATTTGTCTAAAAATTGGTTGGTCATAATGGGTTCCAGCTCCGGTGGCGAAACATTGCATGTATGGGTCCATGATTTGGTATAGCCCCCATATAACGGTACCTCCCAATATTCGGTATTTTGATGGTTTTTGCCACATTTTTTCACTGATTTGTCTAAAAATTGGTACATTGTATGTATAGGTCTACGTTTTGATATAGTCCCCATGTAACGGTACCTCCCAATATTCGGTATTTTGATGATTTTTGACACATTTTTTACGAATTTCTCTGAAAATTTGGTAGTTGTAGATCATAATAGGTCCCAGTTCGTGTGGCGAGTCATTGTAATTATAGGTCCACGTTTTGGTATAGCCCCCATGTAACGGTACCTCCCGACATTCGGTGATTTGATGATTTTTGCCACATTTTTCACGGATTTGTCTGAAAATTGGTATTTGTAGTCATAATGGGTTCTAGCTCCGTTGGCGAAACATTGTATGTATAGGTCCATGATTTGATATAGCCCCCATATAACGGTACCTCCCGATATTAGGTATTTTGATGGTTTTTGCCACATTTCTTCTACTGTTTCCTTTACCCTAAGGTGGAGGGTATTAAAAGTTTGGCCCGGCCGAACTTAATGTTTTTTTTTCACTTGTTTTATCTGTATTAGATGAAGGAAGTATGAAAATGGAATACTTAAGGCACAAGTACATGAAAAGCTTGAAGTCATGGCTAGGCATATTAATGTCAAATTATAATGGAAAACGACGGCAGGATTTTGGTGCGGCTCTGTAATCCCTTTATGAAATGTCACAAAATATGCCTAGCCATACTTACACCCTTAAGTCGTCTATATCTGGCACCTCATGCACATTTTAACATTTTTTAAAATAAGTGAAAGAAGCAGTCGATACAATCTAAACCTGGCACGACGCATTATTTATATCATATTTATTTTGATCCGATACGAAATGGACAATATTGGCCCATTCCTTCGGAACCTACTCCATAGAGGGTCAAACGTTTGAATAATCTCGGTCTGTCAGTCATTATCTCACTACTCTTTTTTAAATTTAGATTGATTACACCTCATCCTTGCACAGTCTGAAAATGTAATAATCAAATTCTTGATTACCCCTTTTAACAATTCATATCTTTTTTATTTTTCTGAGAGAGTAGTGATATATTTCTTCGAGCTAAAGATACCGGCCAGTCGACCCGTACATCGAATAAGAAGGTTCGTCATGCCTCATCTTCATTCCTATAGAACTGTTTGCGCGTTTTATATATTCTCGCCCTAAGCCATCCGTTGATTGATGTCATCAGGCCCCGGCCTCCCAAATTTATATGGTTGGTATTGATTGCCAACAAAATTCTGGCCAATTTGAGATTTGCTAGCTCCAATCTTGAAAAATTGGATACAGAGTTGGCGTCGAAATGATTCTGAACATCCCCAATAGAATTTTTCAGCAAAATAGTCCAGTAAAAGAACATCATGAATCATCTTTATTCTTGTCATAAAATTTAAGATATTTCGAGTCGATAAAAAGTTATAAAGTACGATGTATATTGGGTATACTAAATATGTTTTTTTA